AGCGATGTCCTTGTTCCAGTCAATGTCTAGGTTAAAGTCAATTACAAAAGTGGTACGTGCCGTCTCTCCATGATGGTCTGATTTTCTGCACGGGGCCTTCTATTTGCGATTAATCCTTTTGGGGTAAATTTTAATGAAGGAGGCTGGGTTTCTATGAATGTTGGAATGTTGGAATGAATGTTGATTGTCGGTATTTCTGCCCCAAAGCCTTTGTATCACGATGCATATTTTTGTTCAATCACCGTTGATATGGCCAGCAGTTTTACGTGAAGTTATCGGAACTAAATGGAATTGTTGGGAGAGCATATTTGTTGCGATGCTCTCAATAATGGGCGGGCAGATACAATGGCTCCTTGAAGCTACTAGTAGGGGTATCTTATCTTTCTGTAATGTTGTGAAGTCAATGGTCTATCAGCATTTTCTCGCCTACAACTCACTGAAGCTTTTTATAAAATCTCTGTGAATGGGAATGATGGAGTGAGGCTGTTCTTCACTCCACCACTCCCATTCAGTGGGATTTTATGGAAAGGTCTATGTAGCTCCCATCCTTTATAGGTTTGACTTACTGTGATTCGAGCGTGCGAGCATCAAATTATGCAGTAACTGTAATATAACTCCTCATCCATAGGAACGTTCAATGTTTTCTTAACAATAACAAACACCCTAGATAACTTTTCCCGATCTGTTTTTTTCACCCGACACTCATGACGATTTCATAGCCGATTGTCACGCAGCTGCTCTTTAATAATCAGACATAACAGATTTGTCTCACTGCCCTCAGCAGCACTTGGACACGAGCTCTCACCTGAATGGCATCGCCCACTTTGTTCCGTACAAGCATACCCCATTGGCTGTTTTCATGGTCCGCCGGCCGGCGTGCTGGCGGAGGCAGTGCTAGGAGGGAGGAGGGAGGCAGACAGTGTAAAGCAAACAGTCCCCTTCGAAGGTTGTTTGTTTTCAACCCCTCGAAGGGGCGTGGACTGTTTGCCTATCTGTCTGCCTCCCTCCTCCCCGCTAGCACTGCCTCCGCCGGCACGCGCGCCGGCACGCCGGCACGCCGGCGGACTATGAAAGCAGCCACTCGTTGTCTTCGTATATCTCTTACCATCTCTGTGAAGCTTCTGCTGGAGCCTTCCACTGCAACACTCCTTCCATTGAGTTCGAATGTGGTTTCAACCGCCATGATGTGATTCAGTGATATCAAATATATAACGATGTATCAATATATCATTTTTTCAGAAACTGCTGTTGCGCATTCAGGTATTTGCTTTCAATGTCGGTGCTGGCGACGTGACGACACTGCAGCTAAAACAAGGGAAGTTGTTGCACACCATCTTGGAAACCTTTAAAGAAAAGAAAGAAGAACATGAGAAGAAAGGAAAAGTTGAAAAGAAGAAGCTCATCATGTATTCAACGGTGATTGTGTAACCAGTTGCTAGTGAATGTACTCCACCATCATGCTTTCATTTTGTTCGTTCCGATTTAAGCAGGACTGGATCTTACAAGCTCTTTTGAATGGCATTGGAGCTGCGAAAGAAGCCATCGGTGAGGGAATTCCAAACTTCAACTCCATGATAATATTCGAAATGCGTACGAGTAACAAAACATATACGATGCAGGTTGGTTAAGAATTGTCACTCTCCAAGTTAAGAGAATTTCCACTCAGTTTCTGCTGAATGGCAGCTCAAATTTCAGGTGTTCTATAAAGACGGCGAAGCCAATTCAGAGAAGGAAATCACACAGGCTGTACGTGGCTGCTCTAAAACTCCATGCCCTTACGAAGAATTCCTCAGTTGTTGCAATGATTACAAAACGACCGATCCTAACACTGTTTGTCACCTTCCTTGAAGTTCCTCACAACTTCGAACTTGTGCACATATAATTTTCATCTCAGCAAAATTCAAACCTTCTACGTGTTCACATTGTCTTTTATTGAATGAATTCCTTTCCTATATGACAAAGTCTCAATGAATAACATTCTATGAATCACTCGGAAGATCCTCATTCCGTGGGGGACGGTCAAGTCGTGCGTCCGAGGGTGCGCGCTTCAAACTGCGCGGCGAAATTTATACCTATTCTGACGACTTTAGCGCCTATTATTTGGGCCCAATTTTGAAGTACAGTAAAATAGTAGGATCAGGTGACCTTACTAATCTACCCTGCTTCAGATTTGGGCCCCAATGGTAGGCGCCGGAGTCGTCCAAATTCGCCACGAACTTCGCCACGCTATTTGCCGCGCGCGCCCTCGGACGCACGACTTAACACACACCCTCATTCCGTCCATTTGGAAAGCTCTGTCGACGTACGTATAGTACGCAGTAGCACACAAAAGAACTTATACAGTAGAAAGGAAAAAACTATTTTTCTA